ATATATATATATATATATATATATATATATATATATATATATGGTGTGGCCTTCAGTAATGAGATGTGGCTGGTCTCTCTTTTGTGTATGAAGGAATGTCAGCAGCTGCAATCGCTCCAGAGAGGGTTGGTGGCTAGTTTTCTCTGCATGACTAGCCAAATCACTGTCCATTGTAGGGAAATACAGACAAAATTTCCCTTTACAGTTTAGTCTGCATACCATAACTCATGTCAAATTTTATTTACTTCAAGCCAATGGTCATTGCAATAAGACAATAAATGCAATACAATAAATGCCACCACACAAAATCCAACAGGTTGAATAACAGGCATAATCCATTTTACTAATATTACATAATTTCTGATGAGGGTTGAAATAGAAGTTCTGACTATGGTGAAAAGATTCATACATACATATCCTTCTCATCTCTCACTGTGACTAGTAGTTCTTTCGGGGCTTAGTTTCCTGCCAAATTCAATACCAGCTGCTCTAAATTCAAGTAGTACACAAAGTCACAATAGCCCCTAAGCATGTGCAGAATATATATCCATCATCAGGTAATAGCAGTCTCTGACATTTAGGATTAAGGCAAAAGGGTTTTTCAGGTCTTCGGGGGAGTCTTGATAGGACCAGCCTCTCTCCAAGGATATTTTTACAGATTTCAGAATGGCAGAGGGATATATTTCAACAGCAAGCTTCAAAGCTTGACAGCAAACTTCAAAGGCTCCTTCTCAGAGATATTCAAGGTTGAACTACAAAATATCACTGCCTTATACAGCATCAGTTGTGACTACTTGCCTCTTTTCTACACCTGATTTAAAAAAAACAACCTACACCAGTATTAGTGATGAGTCTGACAGGTCATCCTATTTTGAAATAGAGGGATGTGTGTATTCTTTTAGCATGCACCTCTACTGTATAGACCTATGGCCCTGTTTATATCATTTACCACTCAGTGCTTACAATCCAACACTGGGTTAGACACACAAATCCAATTATTTCAATGGATGTGTGTAAAGGGGTTGCACAATAGTGTCCAGTGAGATGGCAAGAAATATGAGCATCCTAAGGACATAATTAACTGTGGGGGAGAACTGTGGGCAACTACTTTCCTCCCTTTAGGGATGTTACTGGATTTGCAAGAAACCCAGGTTCATTCTAAGTGAGGGAAGCACAGCACTGACTAGAAAATATACCTTGAATTCCAGTTGCAGGAGGAGAGACAGGCTATACAATAAAGTGATCATGGCAGAGGGAGAAGCAGTGAGTTGGGACCAGAGACTGAAAAAGTTACTTTGGAGGATTACCGTGTTGCCTGGGGGAATTCTAGTCACTGAAGCAAATGGACAGATAGATGGATAGACAGATTCCTGTTGAATAGTCCCAACGAAAGTAAATCCATTCAATCCATTGCTAACTGGTGAGTCAACACATAGGTATCATTGCTGCAATGGGTTTATTCTATGCAGGAGTAACAACAGGATTTGGGCCATTTTTCTCTCTCAAGCTCTGCAAAGGAGTGAATTGGTTTAGCTTTTAGAGGACAGTGCAAGTGAAACACAGGTGTAGGTAGAAGAATATTAAGAAAATATGCATACTGTACTGTTCTGGGACCTGGGCAGGAGCACAGGGCCTAATTAGTCTACTTCCTACCCTGCAGGAAAACCCACCATCTTTTTAATGTACTGCTGACAGAACTAAATGGTAAAAAAAATAAATAAATAAATATAGCAGCCTGTGTTTTCTCTTGAAAGAGCAATGTGAGAATGGGTGGAATGGTTTATTGCCATCTCCAGCACTGAGTAGGGTTGCTAGGTTTTCAAAATAGCAAGAAAAGACAGTCAAAATGTATGACAATTAGGAAATGGTGATAATAAAACCGAGTAGTCTAGTGGTTCAGGTGCTACAGGACTAGTGTTTTAAATCATCAGCCCATAACACTGAGTTCTCCCTTTTCTGGCCTGGGTATTACCACTTAAAGTTTTCCATCAAGTTGAAAAGTACATTTATCAGATATTACTGTGGATGTTTTACCCATCCTGTATGAATCTTGGCTAGCAATTAGCAAATCTTTGACAGGACAGCATAGAGAAAAGCTAATTTGGAAACCTTGCCACCTTATTGCCAGTCAGCAAAGGATCAGCTGGAGCATGTTAGGGGTGGCCCTATATAAGGCCCATCTCAGGTTGTGCAAGAAGAGGGTCCTTAGAAGGGCAATAATGGGCATCAGCTGCCTTTGAAACTATCTCCCTCCTTCTAGCATGTGGAGAGAACCATTTGTTGGTGCTATATCTGAAAGAAAATTACACAACTTTTGACGTCCCGTTCAATACTCATACAGAATCTGTTGTAGCTCTTAACTAACAATAAGGGACTCCTAATATGGGGTGACCAGATGGCATCCCTGCAAAGGAGGACAAGGCATTGCAAAATGTAGGCCATTCTAGGAAAATGTAAGGTATTACCAAATAAAAGCTAAAAACACTCATATTACTATAAATTCATGCTTTTTAGTCATGCTTAAAATGGAATTCCTCCTGGACAAAAGGCTGAAATGTAGGAGATGTCCTGGAAAAGGAGGATGTCTGGTCCCCCTGATCCTAACAACGCTATACGGGATAAGCCTTCCAGCCCTTGAATAAGTGACATCCCTCACATTGAGGGACGACTGGCAACTGAATCACCCCCTCAAGTTTGTGTTTTTATTGAGTCCCTGATGACCACCTGCCAAACTCAAAATATAAATGCACACTGGCTGATGGGAAAAGGATCTCTTCCGGAGAGGCATTTTCGGGGGTTAAAGAGGAGACAGAACAGGAGTTAAGTAGCCACTTCTCTGGCTTCTCTTCTTAGGTGTTTCTTCAGCTCTTGCCTCAGTGCTACCAGGATCAGGAAGTGCCAGCCAAACAAGAACGTATTTATGGACACACAGCAGTCTTAACAGCCGTCTAACAGGTTCGCCCTTTCTTTATTAATGGCTTGGTTACATCAGCAACTGCACCTTCCTGGTGCCAGCATAATCAGAACAGCCAAACACAATGAAGTTGTAGGAAGAAAATATCCCTGAAAACTTAATTAAGCTTCATCTTCTTCACCCTTCCTCAGCATAATTACTATCTTATTCATAAATTCCACAACGTCTTATGAAAAACTTCAGCTATTAGCCTTAGGATCTTTAATGATGGCCTGCCTGGAAAGGTCTTTTTATGCTCACCCACTCTCCTCCTATCTTGCCTTTAAAAAAAAATACACGGTAGATATTGTTCCTAGGAGATATTCTTTATCATTATTCTTCTTGTTGTGTACCTTCAAGTCATTTCCAACTTATGGTGAACCTATCATAGGGCCTTTGCAGACTGCTAGAAATAGCGCAGACTGCTAGAAATTGAGTCCACTTTAACTGCCCTGGCTCAGTGCTAGGGAATCATGGGAATTGTATTTTTTTTTTCTGAGGCATTGAGCCTTCTCTGTCAGAGAGCTCTGGTGCTACAATAAACTACAGTTCCTATGATTCCCTAGCACTGAGTCAGGGCAGTTAAAGTGGATTCAATTTGCACTATTTCTGGCAGTCTGCAAAGGCCCATAGTCTTTTTTTGGCAGGTTTCTTCAGAGGGAGTTTGCCATTGCCATCTTCTGAGGCTGACAGAATGTGACTTGCCCATGGTCATCCAATGGGTTTCCATGGCTGGCATGGGATTCAAACCCTGGTCTTCCAGTATCCTAGTCCAATGCTCAAACCACTGCACCAACTGGCCCTGGTTCATTTTTCTTAAGTAAGACATTATTATTCAATTCTAATTCTGATGGGAAGACTCTGCCATTTTATCCATCAGGCCTTTGCTGTATTTCTTAGGTGCTTGCGAACTTAGTTTTAAAGCATTCAGGGGTAGATGTGTTGGCCATTTAGCAAATTCAAACAAAAATCCATCAGTGAGACCTTTATTGGCCAACCGAAATGCACAATATACTTGTTGCAAGCTTTCAAAGCTCCATGGGCTCCTTCATCAGGCAAGATGTTACAAACCAAACAGGACAAAAAACAATTGGAAATGTTAGTCAGATGCCCATATGTTGTTTCATAATCTTTAGTTAAGATGGTATATGGTGGAGAGGATATCTTTTGCAGGCAGGTTCCTTCTCCTTCTGGCCCTGTGGCTATAGGGAGATTTGCAAAGTCCAGGAAATTTAAAATCCATTTGTATCTCAACAGGGACCCCTCTTTTGCAATTTTAAAGATTCGCTTTCAGAATCCCAGGCTGCTGCCATAGTGCAGAAATAAAGCACTTTTAACTTCCATGCCTCAATGCTATAGAATTTTGGGATTTGTAGTTTGGTGAGGCACCAGAGCTCTCTGACAGGGAAGGCTAAACATCTCACAAAACTACAAATTCCAAAATGCCATTGCATTGAGTCATGGCACTTAAAGTGCTGTCAAACTACTTTATTTCTACATTGTGGATATGCCCCAAGGCATACAAAATAAAAACATAAGCCAAAACAGGAATTATTCCCATTAATAATATTCTTATTAGACAGACAGAGTGGTGTAGTGGTTTGAGCATTGGACTGTGACTCCAGAGAACAGGATTTGAATCCCAGCTCAGCCATGTAAACCCACTGGGTGACCTTGGACAAGTTACACTCTCTCAGCCTCAGAGGATGGCAGTAGCAAACTGCCTCTGAAGAAAGTTGTTAAGAAACCCCCATGAGTTTGTGAGAATGGATCGGGAGAAAACAAAAAAGGAAGTAATTAGGAGTATAAGATATTATTACTTAGGCTCAAATGAGACCCTAAGACTCACTTGCTGTAGGGAAACCTGAGAGGTCTAGGGACTAAGGTCCAAAACACACTGCAGAAATAATTCAGCTTGAGACTGCTTTAACCGCCATGGCTCAGTGCAAGGGAAATAATCTGGGAACTGTAGTTCTGTGAGACATTTAACCGTCTCTATCAGAGAGCTCTGGTGCCACAATAAACTACAATTCCCAGGATTCCTTAGCACTGAGCCAGGGCAGTTATAGCAGTCTCAAACTGGATTATTTCTGCAATGTGTTTTGGACCTCACTTTGTCTCTCCCCTGGTCCTAACAAACCTCTCCTGCAGCTGTTTGCATTTGCAATTCAAGAGAAGTTCCCCTTGGCACTGATAGGCAACCACTGGCACCAGCACTTAGAAATGCAGACTGTAAGGCTACAGCTTCCTAGGGGAAAAAAAAGTTCTGGAGGAAGAGAGAGATAGTGCCACTTTAGTATTCTTGCATCATTCCTAGAAGGGCATCATGCCAATACTGCAGTCTGGCTCCACAGATGAATCCTGCAGGTCTGAGAATAGATTAAGATGCCTTTACACTTGACCAGACCATCAGTAGTGCTTGGAAAAGTTAGATTTTTTTTTGCACTGTGTGTGCGTGCGTGCCTTCAAGTTGCCTGTTGATTTATGTTAACCCCATGAATTTCACAGAGTTTTCTTAGGCAAGGAATATTCAGTGGTAGTTTAACCAGTTCCTTCCTCTGAAATACAGTCTATAGGACCTGGTACTCATTGGTAGTCTCTCATCCAAGTACTAACCAGGGCTGGGACTGCAGGAGGGCTAGATTCAGCCCCATAGCCTGAAGTTCGCTACAGTCACTGAAGAATGAAGGGTGCCATGGTATGTTCACTCTGCATGGCCAACACTGCCTGCTTTTGGTGTCCAAGGCAGAACATTCAAACAGGGCACACATACTCAGGTACAGGCCACAATCCACCATGAAATAAATAGTAGCTTCCAAAAAAAAAGGTCACAGTGAGCAACATTAATATCATGTAGCATGGAAACATTAGTGGTAGCCTTTTTCAGATTGCATTGGACTATGACTTTGGAGAGCAGGGTTCAAATACCGACTCAGCTGTTAAAACTCACTGGATGACCTTGGGCAAGTAACAGTCTCTCAACCTCAGAGGATGGCAATGGCAATCCTTCCCCCTCCCCGCCCCGTCCGAAGAAACCTGCCAAGAAAACCTTGAGACAGGTTTGCGTTAGGGTTGCCATAAGTCATAAACTACTTGAAGGCAGACAACACCATGCTGCAACCTGTCACTTATTAGTGACATTACCAGACTGTGACAGCCAATAAGGTGTAGCTGTTAGAGTAGAGTTAGGTAAATGCCAGGGTTTAAGCATCTCCTTTCTCCAGGAAACCTTGGAGGACTATATTTCCTGCTGCATCGTTAATTTTTAGATTTAATTATTTTTTAATAGGAAAGGGGAGTGGAAATGTTTCAATTAAGCTTCAGCTCACTATCTGTTTTTTTTAAAAAAAAAAAAAAAGGCTGCTCCTGGGTGGAAAAAAATGGGTTGAGGGGCTGGCATTATGAAATTGCCTCCAATCAAGCATTTTATAGCCAAATGTTTTTTTGGAGTGAATCCCAGGGAACCTTCTCAGTAGGTTTAGACAAAAGCAAACTGCTACAGCTTCTCCTAGCTGTTCAATTACTTCTCATTAATAGCTTTTGCCATCTTAACTACATTTAGATGTTGCCTGGCCACATGTTTTCAGTATTCATATATGAAATATAGTATTAATATAGGGCCTTTGCAGACTGCCAGAAATAGTGCACATTAAATTGAGGCACTGCCCTGGCTCAGTGCTAGGGAGTCATGGGAACTGTAATTTATTGTGGCACCAGAGCTCAGAGCTCTCTGACAGAGAAGGCTCAATGTCTCAGAAAAAAATACAATTCCCATGATTTCTGGCAGTCTGCAAAGGCCCATAGTAGGTTTGGGTCTAGTAGATGTTCGTTATGCTCAGGCAGGACACCAAAAGAAGCCTCACCTTGACTCTAAAAGTTTTCAATCCCTGTTCTGCTGGCCTTTTGTGGATTTATGACAATTTCCTTCAAATATGTAGCCTGTAGTCACATGCAGGCATTTGTGTGACACTATGTTAGTGCCTTGCAGAGTGAGACTTTCCAAGCATTTGTTCCACAGCATTGTTGATGGCTGCAGACAGAGGGCCCCCTCAGACTGTATAATCTTTGTATCAAAAGAGCCAGTTGTGGATTTCTACACTGCTCCTCAAAATCAAGAATTCGCAGTCCTTCACAAGTCCAGAAAGAAGAATCTCATGTAGATTCTTCTACTGCTTTTCACTTTCTTGGAATGTTCCAGTCCCCCCAAATATGACACCTCATATATCCTTCTTCATTTCCCTTCATACACTGTTCAGAGGAGGTTTGATGTCTTCTCTGTTACACCTCCAGTGGGGCTAGACAAGTACACCTGGGCCAGAGGAATACTGGGGAAACCGGTTAAGCTGCATGAAAGGTGTGTGTAACCAGAAGCCACTGGAATCCTGTGACTGTTGTGTTATCCGAATAGATCAAGACATTTTGCTACTTTGCAGAGGATGGAACAATCCTTAGCCTTTTTTAAAACCCTTGAGCTGGACTGAATGGCCTTGTAATGAACATTATAAATACCCCCAATAGGACATCATGTGTACACATCAAGTTCTACCATGTACAGTGGCCCCTCCACATTTGCTGGAGGTAGGGGTGAAGGACCCCCATGAATGTGGGGAAAAAATCACACGAAAACACTATTCTTTTTACCTAAGAGAGCACCTCTCTAGGAATATCCAGGTCCTCCAGTTCAACTCTATGGTCAACTTCCAGTAGAACTGCACTGGAGGACTTAGAGATTCCTAGAGAGAACATATTAATCAAACCCACAAATAATCAAAGCCACAAAAGTCAAAGCCGCAAATGTGGAGGACCAACTGTATAGCCAATAGAATTTAATCTGGTTACACAGAGCCTCAAGAGTTATGTTTGAAGAGGTCAACTTGGCTACCCTGTATGTGTTTTCAGGAAGTAAGCTGTAAGTCAATTTCTGTTATAATTCTTGGTTAAATAATGGTCTCTCTTGACCATTATTTGGGGTCCAGCACCCTAAAACATGGTAAAATCCTAGCTATGTCACACTCTCCAATATTTCAGACATGAAAACTGAACCATGTGGCTAAGCAACATCAGAGGCAAAAGTTATTAATGGGGAAGAATGGACAAACTAGGAGAGGCTTTAGCTGTTTGTTTTTGCTTGAGCCTCCTAGAAAGGGCAAGACTCCTCTCCTCTCTTCTCCTCTCCCACCACTGAATTAATTGCAATTTGCTCAGCTTGCAGCAATTAAAGTGAACTTAGGATAAGAGGGGAAAGTGGGAGAGGGATAGGAAAACTGGGACATTTTAAAAGCAGCTGAAAAAATGGGAAGACAGCAGATTAGGACTGTTTTTGCCAGACTGAGACAGCTGAGGGTATGCTATGTAAAGCAAAGCAGCTTCATTTATATACCGCTTCATTTTGTGCTATGGGATGTCTAAGCCAGGGGTAGGCAACCTTTCCCCTTTAAGGGCCGAGGGACTTCAGCTCCCAGAAGCCTCAGCCATGTTGGCCAATAGTCCCATGTTGGCCAATAGCTCCTGGGATTCTGGGAGCTGAAGTCCCTCGGCCTTTAAAGGGGAAAGGTTGCCTACCCCTGGTCTAAGCAGTTTGCAACTGTAAGCTCATTGTCCCCCAACAGTTGGGTACTCATTTTAGCAACCTTGGAAGGATGCAGGCCTGAGTTTAGCCTGAGCCCCAGCTAGTATTGAACTCGCAACCTTGTAGTCTATGAGTGTGTGGCCGCAGTACAGGCATTTAACCACTGTGCCACCAGGGCTCCTATGTAGGGGTGGGAGGTAATCTCTACAAAAGGAAAAACAAAAATTAAAACTATTCAGAAAATGAAGAGTGAAGTGGGGTGGGTGGCACAGAAAGTGATGCATCCACCCCACCCCCCAGTCATGCAAGAAGAGCAATCCAACCCACTACAGCCACTAGAATGCTTTTTACTTTCCTGAAGCCAGTAACGACTGATGGTTTCCACATCACTCTGACAGTGAATTCTATTCTAATTTTTAGTTTGAACTAGAAAAGAGCTAACCCCAAAATAGATCCAAAACTCTGGGTCCCTCCTTTAAAGTTCAAACTAAAGCCAGAGTGAATTCATTATCCCCCCTGACATGGAAACCACTAGCCAGCACTAACTGAAGCCCAATAAGTATGGTTCCGGTACCTAGCTGGGAATTGCCTCTATGCTACATGAAGCTCTGTTGAAAGATGGGAAAGGGGGTAAGTGAAATAACATACTTTAAGCTGTTCAGAAATCTTAAATAAATAGCAGCTGATTTAAACAACAATGGAAACAAGACCACCCTACTCTTTATCTTCAAATGTTTACCTAAATAAGGCTGTAATCCTATGCATCTTTACTGGGGCAGGGAGTAAGTTCCATTGTACTTTCTGGGGTAAATATCCAAGACTGGAATGTACAACAGATTTTACTTGGTGCTGAAAAACAAATAAGAATGGGTAGGTACTAAGTGAACCTCTCTCAGAAAGATGTACCACAACCTGGGCACCACCTGCCTAGTCACCTGGAGTTGGGCATCATATGATTATGATGATCTCAACACACTGGAAGGTTCATATAATTGCTTTGATACATGAGAGAGCTGGAGCAGAGGTTGTGAAAGGGCAGCATATCCCAAGATCAGTAGGAGGGGAAAGTAACAAACGGTAAACAG